GCATCCAGCAGCGACGACCCGAAAACTCTTCCGAACGGCGGGCCTGCAGGATGTACCGCGGTTGCCCAAGAGCGACGCATTAACCCTGTTGGACATCGACCATACCGTACCTTCGCGGGCGGATTACCACAAGAGCGATGGCCTCTGTGCATGCTGATGGTAATGATAACGAATATGGTAATGATGGTGATGATGATGCTGCTGCTGATGATGATGATGTTGATGATGATTCTGATGACGATGATATCGGGCGCCGCGCATGCTCTGGGGCATTTTAAAGAGGAGGAGGAGGAGTGCCGAACGTGGCAATCCCTGTTCGACTCGGCGAGGCAGCAGCTGCAATGCGAATCGCAAGGTCGCCAGGCAAACCAAGAAAGCTACGTGAGCAAGCCTGCCACAGGGAGGTATGCAGCATACCGTAGCCTCCGAGAAAACGACGGCACTGCAAGCAACTACCCTCCCCCTGGCCCTGAACGGCCAGCGATGTCGCACATGCTTGGGTCGAGTCCGACGCCCGGCCGCCAGCGAGAAGGCGACAGGAGCAGAGCACGGACTGGGGGAGCAGGGGGGGTGGCGGGGAGTGCGGTAAATAATGACCCCCACCGCAGCAACGTGGCCAGTCCACACCGCCTGGCGTGGAGGTGCCCGTGCCGTCCGTCGGAGCGGACGCGGCCAGGCAGCCCGGGAGACAGAGGAGGATAAGAGGGGGAGAGAAGAGGAGGGGGACGAGGCAGGAGCAGGGAGGAGCAGGCTGGAGCGCACAGGCCCAGGCTGATGCAGAAGGCAACAGTCCCAGAGATCCAACGTCGTGATTTTTTCAATACGGGGTCCCCGGAAATCTCGACCCCTTCCCCAGGACCCGTTTTTCATCCTGAGTTGTTTTTGACGGTCCTGGGGCCCGGCGCGGGCCCCTATGGGCCGAAAATGGCGAAAAGCCTCCGTCGTCATTTTCTCAATACGTTCGATCTCTGGGGTTGACGGCTCCTGGTATATCGGCCCCGCGAGCACTGCGTCGGGCACCGGCGCCGCCTCCGTGCGGGCACCGCTCTGGAGCGACAGCCCGGGCGGCGAAGGCCAGCGGCCCCTCTGCTCGTCGGCGGAGACAACAGGGGCGTATAGCCCAGGGGGGCGGGCATTGCACGCATTCGCCCGGGAGCCTTTTCGAAGACACATATCATCGGCGCAGCTGAATACATGTATGGGCGGTGGACACACCTCCCTTTAGCAAACCTCCCCGTAAAGAAAACGGCCTGGGACCGAAACCGACGGACCTGGACCCGCAAAAATGACGGCCGCGACGCCTCCTCGCGAACCGAAAAGGGCCAGTTCGATCATCGACGTGTCAGGGTAGGAGGTCTGTCCACTCCCGAGTGTATTGCTCTCCATAAGGGGCGGGCATTACACGTATGCGCCTCGGCGACTTCTCGAAGGCACAGATCATCGGCGCACCTGAATACATGTACAGTCGGACTTGAATGGAGAGGACGCGCGAGAGGGCACAAGAGCCTTCCGAGGGCCACGTTGCCACAGAAATGCAGGAGGCATGGGTCGCAAGACACAGGACACGGGTACCCTTGATCTGGCAGGGTCGACCTACTAATCCAGGCCGCCTGTAGATCATCGGCGCACCTGAGCACGTGTATTGCTCTCCCCTGGGCTATTCGCCCCCATCGTCGCCCCCGAGCTCGACCACTCGTCGAGGGAGGGCCGGCGCAGGGCTCCGACGCGTGGCGCAGGAGCGCTGGACCGAGCCGCGCGTTCCGCGGGCGCTGCGAACTCGAGCCGCGTGCTGACGTGGTTGAAGCTTCCACGAAATCTCCGGGCGTTTGCATGTGATGTGTTTTGTTGTTCGCGAGCGCGCAGGCGTGCCAGGCGCCGTCAGAGCCAAGCAGCAAGCCACGATCTAAATTAAGCCCCGAGCGCGCAGAAGCGACCTACAATTTGCATGTGATACGCGCGTGGTCAAAAAATTAGGCAGACCTCTGTAAACAATGTTACAGATGGTGGAACGTTTGGCAATTTCTGGAGCATTCCATGTGAACGTCTAGATCGCCTTAGACGTAGGGGGACCCGCACGAATGATGACATCCGTGCAAGGCAAGTCAAACACACGTAAGAAACAAGGCACTCCTCGCGATGTGTTCCCCAACCATCCAGTGGAGCTGGGTTATCGTTTTGAAGCGACATCGCCCCGCGTCTCACCTCACTCGTCCTCCTCCTCTCTTCCTCCCCCCCTCCTCGCTCCTCCCATCCCAAATCCACGTGTCTCTGTTTCGGCACTCCCGTTACACGTTTCGTGGTCCCATAAGGAAATCCACCGACGGCCCCAGTGGCAGCGCCCGCATGCGGTTCTACCCCCCATTTCGGTGCACACTTCACACGTTCGTGGCCCCATAGGGAGCTCCACCGAAAGCTCCAGTGGCAGCGCCCGCATGCAGTTCCATCCTCCATTCGCACACACACACATATACACACATACACAAATACACACACACATACATACATACATACATACATACATACATACATACATACATACATACATACATGCATGCATGCATACATACATATACATGCATGCATACATACATACATACATACATACATTACATTACATTACATCACATTACATTACATTACATTACATACATACATGCATACATACCTACATACATGTATGCATGCATGCACACATACATATATACATACGCACATACATACATACATGCATGCATGCATGCATTACTGCATACATACATACATACATACATACATACATACATACATACATACATACACACATACATACATACATGCATGCATGCATACATACACACATACATACATGCATGCATGCATGCATGCATGCATGCATACACACATACATACATACGTAGATGCATACCTACATGCAAACATACAAACATACAAACATACAAACATACAGACACAACACACATACATACAGACACAACACACATACATACATACATACATACATACATACATACATACATACATACATACATACACACACACACACACACACGCCCCTCGCACGCTTCGTGGCCGCATAGGGAGCTCCACCGAAGGCCCCAGTGGCAGCGCCCGCAAGCGGTTCCAACCCACCCCTGCGAGGCTCCACCTCTAATGGCAGTGCCCGCATGCGGTTCCACCTTCCATGTCGGCGAACCCCTCACACGGCGCGTGGCCCCACAGGGAGCTCCACCGCCGGCCCCAGCGGCAGCGCCCGCGTGAGGTCCTCCCCCCCCTTTCGGCGAACCACTCAAACGTTTTGTAGCCCTCATACAATCAAAAACCCTAATAAGGACGCGCGGTAAGGACGCAAGACCATTGGAAGCCGAAGTTGGGATTTTTGGTGCGGCGGACGACGAACACCTCAAGGACGCAAGAGCAAGGAAGAGCAAGGACGCAAGGGTACCCTGAGCAAAGTCGCGCGTCCTTATTAGGGTTTTTGACTGTGGTGCGCTCCTTCGACTGCCCACGTGGCCCCTGTTGCTGGCCTCCCTCCATCATGTTCTGTTCCTTGCGATGCTCGCAGACCCCAGGTGCGGCGCCCGCATGGTGACCCCGCCTCACTTCGGCACACCCTTCATGCGCTTCGCGGCCCCATAAAGGAGATCCGCCGAAGGCGATGCTTACAACGACGGCACTCACAGCTGCATATGGTTTGGGTCCTTCGACAAGCCAGTGTTTATTTCCGCGCGGCCTCCGTTCCAGGAAACTCTTCGTACCTCTGCGGAATCTACACAGACAGTGCAGAATGCGCGCAGGGAAGGCACAAAGTATGTTCCTTGCGCACAGTACGTCTCTGCGTGAATCGATGCTTCATGCGGTCTGTGCTTCAAGCCCGTAATAGACGGCGCCTGACGACGCGTGTGCAGAGTGCTGGCTCGTGCGCGCGGGCGTACGACTGCGAATCGATCATGCGTAACCTCAATGGGTCTAAATGAAAACCCCTCCAACACTGGGCAACACATGCCTTTTTGTCGAGGGGGTTATTGAGCGTTGCCGGCACCCACCAATAATTTGCAAATAACTATTCCGATGCCTCCCGCCGTCGTCGAGGAAGAAGCAGCGGAAAGGGAGGAGTACATTGTACAACCGCGTGGGGGCACTGTGCTGCGCTTGACAGCAGAAGCGGCATTCGGCCACAAACAAATTGCGATGCATGCAGGCCTTGTACTAAGTAACTACCCGTGGCTAACAAAGGGCTACAAAGCTCGCGAAGCGCGGCATCCACGCTCTGGTACCCCAGGGGAGGAGGAGGAGGAGGAGGAGGAGTAGGAGGAGGAAGAGGAGCAGCAGGAGGAGGGGGAGGACGAGGAGGAGGAGAAGCAGGAGGAGGAGCAGGAGGAGGAAGAGGAGGAAGGAGGAGGAGGAGGAGGAGGAGGAGGAGGAGACAATGACATTGACCGAGCGAACGGAGGGGCGCGCAGAGCCCCTTGCCAGCCGAGAGCCCTTTCCTTGGGGGGGGCCGCATTATTGAAGACGTCCTGAGGCTGAATGTCATAACGCACATTGCTTCCACAGAGCAGGAAATCCACCCCCATAAGAAGCACCCCGACGAGCGAGGCCGTTTAGTAAACGCACCGAAGGCAGGAATCGACCAGGGCAGGGCTGTTTGCAAACGCGCCCAAGTAAGGAATCGACCAGGGCAGGGCCCTTTATTAAACGCTGAGGGCCGTTAGTATACGCCAACTATCGGGGGTCGGGGTGGTTTGTCCTCTCTGGATTCCAAAGAACAGCTTCCGGGAGGGGCGCTGCTTCGCGGGGAGGAAGGATTGCTACTTAGGGGCCGGCGGGGATCCCCCTAGGACCGTACAGGAGGGAGGAGAGAAGAGCGCGGCGATTCTCCAAGCCCCCCCCCTTCACCCTATGACTGCTGGAGCGAGCAACACTCCCGGTTCGAAAACACCCGTGGGAGGTGCAAGCCGTGGGGCGCCGGGTGGCCTCGACCCCCCGCCCCGCGCGAGCTCCTGAGCCACGACTGGCAGGTGGAAAATGGCGTTCGCCCGGTCCTCAGCCGACGCGGCAGCAGTCCCAAAGATCCTGTGCACTGTCTTGTCCCCATGCAAGTGAACCCCCAAGCGTCCCGGCCCTGTGCATCCTAAGCCGTGGGCCCCCGCACTGAATTTTCCAACACGTCGGTAGTCTGCGTGAAGACACGGCCCCGGCAGCAACGGCGCAAGAAGCCCAGCGCCTGCGTCCGGTAGCGCAAAGCGCCCCGCCCAGGTGAGGTCGGCGTCGGGATTTGCTCTCAGCGGGCGATGCTGCACCTGTCGCGCTGCTGGCCTTGAGTCGGGCGTGTCTCCCTACAGGGGGATCAAAAAAAATACTCAAAGATACCCAACAATACCCCCAAAATAGTCCCCAGACTATTTGCTTGACTATTTTTGAATTTTCCTCCTGTAGAGGGACACGCCCGACTTAATGCTGGCCCCTCCCGCGCCCTTGTGCCTCCTCCCCCCGCTCCTCGGCCCTCCTCCCATCGAGGGGCAACGCGGGGGGAAGACCGGCCCAGGGGGAGACAGCGGCCCTGGAATCAACGGCACCCCAGAGATCCGATGCGTTGAGCTTTTCCATGCGGCGCCCCTGGTTAGCGTTTTCTTATTCGGCGTTTCGACATCGGGCGGAAGGGGGGGAGGAGGGGGGGGGGGTCTGGCTCGAGACCTCTGCTTCGCTTCGTGCGACCGTTTGCAGCAGTGTGTCCTATGGGAGAGAGGCTCCACCTGCTCGAAACAGGCGCCAGAAACAGCCAATTTCTACCCCATCGGGGGGGAGGGGGGGGGAGGGGTACGAGGGCCCGCGCCGATCGGCAAAACGATAAGAAAACGCTCCCTTCCTGGACCATTGTTCCATCCTGAATCGACGATCGACGGCCCCGGGGCCCGGCGAGGGCCCGCAGATGCCGAAAGTAACGAAACTTTCTTGTTGAATTGTTCAACACGTTGGTGGAGGTCTGGGACATCGTCGATATATCGGCTCGATGTTCTCAACGCCCGCCAAGACGAAGTCAGGACGAGGATAACAACGGGTGAGGATACATCGAGAATCTGAGATCCGGCAACTCTGGAGGATCTCGGGGGCCGCGACCTGATCAGGGCGTTCCGGAACGCTCTGAAAGCGCTTCGGAACGCTCCGGAACGGATTTTGAGCATGGACCGACCGTCCTGGCACTCCTATAGACCTATCACTTATCACAACATGTTCTTAGAACCTAGAGGCTTCCCTGATAACCAGAACAGTGCCCCTAGAACCCATACCCGGCGTGCCACAGCAAGACAGTCTCAGCCAGAAATGTTCTGAGAGTATTTCGCGCAAACCACACAAGGTTCTCATAACAGTATTTGGCTCTCCTGTGGGCAAGCCAGGGCGCTCGCCACTGATGAGCCTGTTTTCCACCACCACCACCACCACTATAAGTTGAAGGGGGAGGAGGAGGAGGAGGAGGAGGAGGAGGAGGAGGAGGAGGAGGAGGAGGAGGAGGAGCAGGAGGAGGAGCACTCCCTCCCACTCCAACTTATGGTGGTGGTGGTGGAAAACAGGCCCATTAGCCACTGCTCGACGGACTGATCCTCGTCCGAGCCCCGTCCGACCCGCTGCTCCCCTCCCAACCACTGGCCCACTGGCCGCCGGTCCGGCTGGCCCAGGCCGGGGCAGAGGGCGAGGCACGAGGGGGAGGCCGAGGGCGAGGCACGAGGGAGGGCAGGGAGGGAGCTGAGCAGAAGGAGGAGGAGGAGGAAGGAGAGGAAAGGAGGAGAAGAAAGGAGAAGGAGGAGAGGAGGAGGAGAGAGAGGAGGGAGAGAGGGGAGGGAGGAGGAGGAGGAGGAGGAGGAGGGAGGAGGCGGAGGAGGAGGAGGAGGAGAGGAGAAGAAAGGAGGAGAGATGAGGAGGAAAGATTGAGGAGGAAACTGAGAAGAGAGAGGAGGAGGAGAGAGGAGAAGAGGGAGGAGGAGGTAGGAGGAGGAGGAGGAGGAGGAGGAGGAGGAGAGGGAGGAGACGGACGAGGAGGAGGAGGAGAGGAAGAGGAGGAGGAGGAGGGAGGAGGAGGAGGAGGAGGAGGAGGAGGTGGTGAGCGGAAAGGGAGGAGGAGGAGGAGGAGGAGGAGGAGGAGGAGCAGCAGGAGCACGAAGGAGGGATGAAGGAGGGTGGGGAGGAGAGAGGAGGTAGGAGGGCGGGAGGACAGGGATGATGATGATGATGATGATGATGATGATGATGATGATGATGATGATGATGATGATGATGATGATGATGAGGAGGAGGAGGAGGAGGAGGAGGAGGAGGAGGAGGAGGAGGATAATGAAGAGGAGGAGGGGGGCTGGTGCCTGGAGCCGGACTATAGGGACCAAGGAACCCCCCCAGACTACAAGGACCCCCCCCTGGACTACAGGGCCCCCCCCCAGACTACATGAACCCCCCCTCCCTGGGCCCGTCCCCGGACTTCAGGCACATGCGTGAAACCATGAAGATCAA